ACACACTTACGGCAAGAGCATAAGAAATCATATGTATAAACTTATACTCCTTGAAGAGTCTTCTAGTGGATATGGAATTTCATCCATCTCATATCCTCTTAAGGATCAACATCACGCCTACTCCAGGCTTTAAGCAATACTCAATTAATTAATTGCTCAAGTTTAGCTTCAGCATCAAAATCTAGCAAGGAAACCCAATTATGCCTTTTAAACACCATTGAGTTCTGTACTGATTGTATTTACGTCTATTCAAGGGTATGTTGAAAACTTCACTGCAGTTTTTTTTTTCCTGCAAAATAATAATCAAACCTTGCCTTTTCTCAAGAGGATCTTCAATGGTCTACATTTCCTAAACAAGTGAAGATGTATCAAAAAACATATAAATTACCTTGTTAGAGTTTAGATTGTCCTCTTGCTCATAAAGTAATTATTCTCCTTGTAATTTTGTTAGTCATAGACAAAAGTAAGCTTATAGTGTCTTACCTCTACTTCATCCTTTACTTCATTGGTTTGAATATCCTAGAATAAAACCAATGACATTAATATAGTTGTGCAATGCTAAAAAGTCGGGCCTGGCCGATGGTGTGACTGCCAGACAGCGCTACAAGATCTAAAGGATTGGTTGTCAATGGTGTAAGTTAGGTGAGGACATGTGGTATTTAGGAATACAGGTGAGAGTCAACTTCAACATAGCAACCCAAGATGGCACACTTCTAAGGAGAATCAAGACCATGATCCACAAAGGGACTCCATGAAAGCTTGGGCTTGTGGCTTGGGTGGTGCTGATGAAGAACATCATCTTCCTATTCATCTGGTACCATCTTTTAATATGGCCAATGTTGGAGACAACAATCAAAAAGATGTGCACCATGGTAAGAAATTATGTATAGAAAAGGGCATTGGTTACAACGAAGTCAATAGCAAAGGTGGTGTGGTGATCTACTACCTACCCTCAAGTATTAGGAGACTTAATGAAGTACAACAAATTTAATTATGTATTCAAGCATTTTATTGACAGTCAAGATTACGACCTTGACATTCAAGGTTACAACTCAAGAAAAAGTGGCAATTGCCACTATGTATGAGTAGTTAAAGAGAAGAGTTAACATTTGACCCCTATCCTTATCTTTATTATATTTTAACCTATCGCAAATGCATATCCATTTACTTAAGACTTAAAGTATTCTAGTAATGTTAAGTTTATCTTTATTCGCATGAGCCTTCTTGGAAATTGAAGGTCTCAAGTTAGTTTCTAATTGATTCATGTGTTTAGTAGCTTGTTCCAAGGCAAAAATTACGATACAAACACAAGATCAACAACATCAAAAGTCCTCTATTTTTTTGCAACTATAGTAGCAGACTGGTGCAGCTAGTCACAATCACAAGCCAAACTACACTAAAGAACTTCTCTGAGTCTGGATTGCTGTTGTTGTGCCGCAGCAGCAAGTGAGGCACAGCAAGCAAGGCTCTATGCTCCATGGGTGTGCTCCACAGGTAGTTACAAGTTCACCAGAATCGGCCATGCCTTGAGCTTCAGCTCTACACGCCACAGTATTAAAAAACAAGCTCTTTACATAAAACTCTTTCCTTGGGTAAAGCCAAAAAAAGAGAATAAAACAAGAGGGAAGACTTATCAGCAGTCCGTGCAACACTGCAATCGCAGAGGAGATTGAGAGCTGGAGGAGAGGCTTGTGTGGTTAGTTACAAGATGGCCACTAAAGGCTTGCATGGAATCTTGAGAATCTTTTTAGAAAGGCGGCATTTTATATGAAGCAAGGAGGAAAGCTTTTTGGAAGTCGTTTATCTAATTTTTGCATCAAGAGTTTCGATCCGGAGGCAATCAAGAGTCCCTGGTTGGACATGTTTAGATGCATGGGCGAAGTTTACGCAATGCTTGTAGTGCGCGAAGCTTGAGATTTGCAGCAACGAGCCGGACAAGATCTTGGAGCGAGCGTGAAGATCATAAGCACATGTGAAAAACACGTGCTGAAAAACAATGGTTTGGCTGCTTAGAGGCTTTCAACTTTGTTGCACAGCTAGAGAAGGAGATGCTCTTAGAGCTCGGGATTGCCAAATTTGACAAATATATGCCTCTCTTGTCATTGATCATGCTTGCCTCATCAACAGAGCTTCTCCAGCTCATGCTCCAGAGGATACATCTGCAAGTACAGTAGATGCCGCGTTGGTGGAAATGCAATAATATCACATTCTCCTCCAACAACAGCAGACACAGCAAGCAGAGATTTAGAGTTGAGACACCTTAGGACGTATGCTGCTGATTGTCCTCCATGCCATCGTCTCTTTTGCAATCACTGCAAATCGAGTACGCAGGACGAATTGTGCTGTTGGAAGTTACACCCTGAGCAACGCCTGCAGCCTTAGTAAGTCCTGCAGCACCCTTTGGTGGACAACTCCTCGTTTGCAGCTGAGTCGAGCTATCGTCAGACTTTTCAGCAACGCGCGATCAAAGCCCCGCCACCTTTGGACAAAGGAAAGAAAGTTTTGCTGGCATCCATGCGGTCGGTCGCCCCAAATACTCGAGGTCAAGCAAAGAAGCCTGTGCCTTCACACGTTGGTTTAGGTCCAGATCCCCCCTAGTGAGCTCAGTGCCTCCTTTACCAGGAGCAGCAGTGGGAATGCACCACGAGATTTCCCTTCTAGCAGCGGAATCTCGCATACTCAAGTTCCTCAACATGTCACACACAAGCTCCATGATGTACATTTGGATGTTTCTCGCAGGGATTTGTTGATCATGGTCATCGGTGATTCTCCACCTTAGCCTTCACCTCAGACACAGGTCATGAAGGTCGTCCAAGTGATAAAAGAGTACAGGCTCCGCCACCCGCGTCATTGATGCCCAACCCCGGCCATGGCCCAAGCGCCGCCGCCGCTGGAGCACATTGGATCAGGGACCAAGGCTTGGCAGCTAAGTAATGCCAGAGAACTGGTCGTTGTGTTACTCGGCGATCTCCTCGAGCGCGGAATCTCCATTTCCCAACGAAAGACCTAGAAAACCCTAAAAACAGCATGGAAAAGGATACGGGATGGGTTTAGGGTTCTTGGGACAATGCGGCTCGGCCGGCTCGATGGGCCAAAGACGAGGGAGATCGTCGCCAAGGCGCTGATGCGCAGCAAGCTTAGGAACACGCGGCGCGACGCAGAGGAGCCCTACACTCCGCCGCCGCCGCGGCCGCGCGATTCCCTGCTGCTTGTCGCCACAGTCGCCAAGCCAGCATCGGTAGATTACGATCCGGCCGAGGCGACGGGGATCGTCGGCAAGGATGTGGAGCTCCTGGAATGCCAGGGCTGCGAGGCGACGACGGCGACCCTAGAAGGTATGCTCCGGCACTGTATCAGCTTCAAGGCGGCACCGGATCTTCGCAGGGTTCACAATCACATAGTCATGACCGAGCGCTGCAATCGATCGCTGGGTACGATGCTCATCACGGCGTATGGAAAATGCGGCCTCCCCGACGCGGCGGTATCGGTCTTTCGGGGCTTGCGGCGGCAGAACGAGCAGGGCTGGACGGCGGCGATCGTCGCCATGGCCGAGAATGGACGGCATCGCGACGCTTTCAATCTCTTCCGGGACATGATACTGGATGGCTCGCCGCCACTGCCCGTGACTTACACGGAGGTTCTCAAGGCCTGTGGGGAGATGGGCGGTCTCAAGGAGGCCAAGCTCGTCCACTTTTGCCTCGCGACCTCGCGGTGGCGCTCGCATTTGCCCGTCGTCAATCAGCTCATCGATACGTATGACAAGGTTGGAGCGATCGAGGAGGCCAGCAAAGCTTTAGGATCTGTCATCGTTGACGCTGGATCCGAGACCTGGAAGAAGGTGTGGGGGGCGTATAAGAAGAGAGGACAGTCGAGGGAGGTGCTCAAGCTGTTCCTCAACATGGACCCGGCACAGCAAACGTCTCTAAACGCGAAGATGTGCCAAGAGGCGATGAATGCGTGCTCGAGCCTGGAGGATGCTCGAGCGCTGCACGCACACTTATCGTCGTTGGGGATGGCCACCGAGTTTGAGACTGCCAGGCGCTTCCTCGAGCTCTTCATCCGGCTGGGCAGCCTGAAGGACGCCGAGGTGGTGTTTCAGAGCGTAAAGACAAAGAATCTGGAATGGTGGCAGACGATGATCCGAGCCTATGCCGCGGGCGGTGATATAGAAAACGTTCGTCGTCTCTACAGAGTGATGAAGTCCCACCGAATGAGTTACAACAAGAAAACGCAAGCACAGATCTTGGAAAGCTGCAAAACCAAAGGGAAGCTTCTATCAGTGGAGGCTGTAGCGGTTCCAGCGTGATCAAAGTAGAGGTGGCCGACATGGCTAGTGGTATTGCAAGCTTTCGTTGCCGTACTGCTTGAAAGAGTGCATTCTCCTTAGTGATGAAGAAGAGAAGTGAGCGCGATGGAGGGCATACAAGGATGGATTAAATGACTACGGAGCTCTTGTCTAGGATGACGGAGGCAATACCCGAATTCAGTAAGCGCATCTACTACCGGTCCGGATTGAGGGATGAGATTCAGGACTGGCTGGATCTGGATAACGGACGCTCGGGGGGAGAACGAAGCCAAGTCAAGTTCTGAGTTCGAAAGGAAGGCTTCAAGGCTACCATGGTAAGCCAGAACAGCACTAAACTCATTGGGCTACCAACCCAAAAGTTCAGTACTATTTCTCGTTCTGTGATGTGGTCATCGAACAGAAAGTTCAAGCAGGACAAGAAGGGGGCAGCGATGTCAGTTGCTGAACCCGCGTGAACACGGACATGAGAAAAACAATGGCGTAGCCCAGGAGCAGGATGAACGTTCTGATGTTTTGACTCGTGATTGTACAGAAGGGCTTGTTGAAACTAGGAGCGACTGTTGTTTCGCACTTTTAAACATTTATCAAGAGAACAAACCAAACCTTGAAAACTGTTGGCAATTTAGTCTCTATCTGGTATGTCATATCACTTGGGCACAAATAAAGGGATCATACAAACTTCGAAAGTGGTCCCGACTTCTCGTTGTCTATCATGCCTTATGTGTTTGGAGGCCCACAAGAACCTCTCGCTCTCACTGATGGTCCTAACTTATTCCTAGTATCATACTGGTCCCCTGGGGACCAGTAAGATACTGTGAGGTCTTAGGTTTCTTTAAATAGGACACATGAAATGCCACTTCTATCAGATCCTGCTTCTGCTGTTTCTTGTTAGTGTGCTTCTTCAGATAGTCATGGCCCTGCGTCCAGTTTCCTGCATCGTTCTTGTGCTGCCATTGCTGGTGCTCGCAACTGTCAATGCTACTCGTGTGGGCAATGAAGCAGGTATATTGCAAATTTTCATTTGCGTAATGCTGAAAAGTGTTGTTCCACAGACACGATCTTTGCGGGAGGGGTGGATGCGACGCATGATCCACGATATGTGTCTACTATCCTGGAAAACAAAGGTGCTGCAAATATATTCACCCCGGCTGAGCTCTTCAAACTGTTGTTTCCATCATTTCTTTTGTGTGCAGCACTAAGCAGCGTTGTTGGCGAAACTTACTGTTGCCTCAGGAACGGATGGGGCTGCATGCAGGAGTGCGACAAAGGCAAAAATTACCAGTGCTGCCTTAAGAATGGGTTTGGGTGCATGCAGAACTGTGAGACATCGAAAAAGTACTCCTGCTGTCTCAAGAATGGATTTGGCTGCCTGTGGAAGTGCGAGGATGGTGTGGAGCACTACTGCTGCGAGCGGAATGGCTTTGGCTGCACCAAGATGTGTCCCAAGACAGTCACTACTGGCAACCTGTAAACTGGATATGTACTGTGGCTCTGGATATGGATGTATGGGTTTGGTTGCCGCCCGAGTTTAAATAAAATGCTACTATTATACGCGGAGCCGCTAGTAGATCTCCCCTCCTCAAAGCTAACTGATGCATTTTTTAATTGGAGGCACTAATCCTTAGGTGCTCACTTTCCTGCTAAGACAATACTTTATACCAACTTTGTGGTTGACCATCTGAATCCCACTGGGAGGCCTGTGTCGAGGAGGCAACTGCGTTTGTTCGTTTAAAGGAAATCAAGAATCCTTGATCATGTAGGGTTTCGGGATTTCAAGCGGGTGGTGGCACTCGATGACATTACTGCCTTCTAAGAGAGCGTGGTGGTGGCTCCAAAGTTCGAGGGGTCAAAGGATGACCAGTTCTTGGCAGATGTATCCTCATTCCTTCTTGCGCTGTCAAAGTGCGTGGATTTTACCAAAGTTATCCTGGACAATGTGTTGAGAAGCAAGGCAAAATTGTACGTCCCAGATCCATTCGGGCTGTGTTTACTATGGTTACTTATGTAATGTGGTTTAGTAGGATAGGAAGAGTGCAAGTGCCATCCAAGAAGTACTTGTGCTTCCTGAAGAATGGATTCGGCAGTGCAAGGACTTTGAATAACTAAAGCACTATTTGGCCTATTTTTCTTAAGTTGGAGGCACTAGTGATGTGAGCGATGCTCGCTTTCCTTAAGGATATCCTATGTCTGTGCCATAATTCTCTACCTCGAAAGTACACTTAGCTCAGAAAGGTGAAATCATTTAATTAGATTAGCTAAACTGCTGGGTAACCTCATGTTATTGTGATACTCGGTCTTCAATCTATTCTCAGGCTTTATGACTACCATGTTATTGTCTTGCTTGCTCACAACACTTTGTGCTTTTCCTGCAGAGGATTCTAGAGTGGTGATACTATTGGATCTGTCTGATCACGTCCTAGTACGTGTCAATTCTTCGTGTGAAGTGTCTGGCAGCATTTGCCACGACTGAGCCGACGAGGAACTCTCGCTGTCTAGGAGACCATCACCAGTGACCACATATGTGTAGAGATTTTCTTTGTAAAAACAAAAGAGTTTGAAATTTTTGTGTTTTTAAGGGATTTAAAGTCTCATACTGTAATTAGAGAGTTTCCCAACAATCTTATTCACTTATTAAATTTTTCAACTGAACTTATAATATTGAATGCATTTCAATACAAAATTAAGCAAACTATTTAACTATTGATATTTTTATAACAAATGGGTAACTGTTTCTGAAATATATCAAAGATTTTTGTAAATTAATAATTTATTTTTATTTTTTATCTAAATGTAATATAAATATATCTTGGACGTGTTTCTTGGTATAACTCATGTAACAATTTACTTTTATAATATAATTTTATAATAATAATATTATATAACAACAACAATATGCAAAGCATTTTTATTTTTGTATATATAGCAACACATGTTGCATCCCTTTAAAACAATTTGGGTTTTTATTTTTAAATTAAGTTATAATTATAATTTTTTACATGAGAGGTGATATATTACTTTTGCATCTTTTACATATATGATTATTTATTGTTTAAATAATTGTTTTTATTGGTATTCTGTATTTGAGCTTTACAAATAAAGTTGTGGATGGCCATGCATGGTTGTTTCCTTTTTTAAACTAAGGCTTATTTTTTTTAGTGAAACTCAAGAAAATAAACATTTAAAGCCAATTTTAAACTATATATTGCTTAATTAAAATGTTATAATCTTCACAATATTTTTTATAAATTTTTATATTATTAAATTATAGTATAAATTATATAAAAAATTACAATTTTTTAAAGAATTGTGATTGAAATTACATCATAATGTATATATTAATCTTACAGAAATTTCTTAAACAAAAATTATCAAGAGTATGAGACTGTTTGGAATGCCAGAATGGGATGCTGTGCTTATTCCAAGATCTGTTTGTGAGAATGTGGTGAGAAGTGACATTTAGGATCCAGATAGAATTCTTAATGCTCTCTCTCTCTCTCTCTAGATTTGGCCTTCTGAATAGATATCGCAATGGTGAACTCATTGATCTCAACGAGCTATGCTTGTTGCTATCCAAGAAGACACAAACGTTTCAGGAGCCAATTACTAGTGATAACTGTCTCATGGTGATTGACAAGCCCACGGTATGGAAGAAACGTGAACAGAAAAAAGTGTTGGATCAATTGTCTCTGCGTTTCCAGTTGTTTTGTGCAGTTTCCTTTTTATGATGGCTTCGAGGTTCCACCGTAGGCAAAAGTATCACAGCCGATTCTTACTAACTAACTTCCATTCCAATCAATGCTCTAGAAAGATGACCCGTTAAGCATCTGGGTTGAACGATCTAGTGTCACCAAGTTTCATGCTTCTCAAGTGGCTTTCCAGCTTCAACTTGATCTCTGCCCATTGATTGGCAGCCATTGTTTAGATTGGCTGTAAGAATGGACTGCAAGAAGCCAGCCGTGGACACCATCCTGTTGCATTTCCCGTCAATGTCCTGCTTACCAATCCTGTTCCTTCCGACTTTGACTATAAGAATGTCGGAAGCCCTACGAAGACTGTAAAGATGACACAAACGAACGAGTAGATCTAAACCCCTACAACGATCAGCTGCAAAAAAAACATTTTAGAAGCCAAGCAGAGAGTCAGAGTAACGAAAGAAACTCACCAAACAGATTGCCAGGCAGGATCGCAGAGGATATCGTGCGCGGATGGACGCTGGTGGCGTCTTGCTGTCACCTTGGACGCAATTGATGGGTGTTGGTACGCCCAGTCGGCTGGTAAGACGTCAATCACACCGATTCACCAAAATAAGCAAGGACGTTGCACAAACTGCAGTCAAACCTGCCGGGGGACACCTCCAATGAAGTTCGAAGAGTATAACGCCAAGCGCGAGCATGTCAGTGTAGGTCGAGTTGCTCCGGTGCTCTCCTTATTTTTAGCAGTAAGCCAACAAATGAAGATGAAATAGATGTTTTAACTTTCATTAGCCTACCAAGAAGCTTGATGAGTCCGTCATCGTTGTGTGATATATCCCGATGATCACCAACGTTGTCGTGTACATGCCACAACTTGAAGAAGCTGCCTAAACGCATCTGACTCACCGCCGAGGAGCACCAACTGGAGCAAGCCAAAACTCCATGACAATGTAGACTTTGGACTTGCCCATTTCCTCCTTCCATATGTCAAAGTATATGTTGGGATGTTTACAGCACTAGAGCATATCTCCCTCCTTGAAGACGAGGGCAATATCCTGGTCCCTGGACTTCGTTGCCGTGCAAACTTTGATGACATACATGTCGTCCTTCCTACGGCACTTGTATATTTTGCCGGACCGACACAAGCGAGCACTTTGTAGCTGCAGCCTGGACAAGAGACAAGAGGCAACTCAGACGCTCAAAGCGGCCAAAGAAAGAAATATTGTATCCGCAGGAGTCTTCCGATCGATTCCACGATCCCATTCCCGACAAAACGGCCACGTCAGATGGAGTTTAGGGTTTAAGGAATGCATATAAAGCTGATATGTGGACGAGTCATTTTAAGGGTATCATGAAGAAGAGACTGATTCTAGATTTAGATAATACATTGGTATACGCTCATAAGGATCTGTTCTCTTCTGTAGATTTCAGCATGGAATTGGACACTCCACATCATGAAGAGACCAGGCGTAGGTGAATTTCTGGGAAAGGATTCAAAAGTATACGATATCGTGGTGTTTAATGCTGCAGAGGAGAAGTATGTCAATGGTTGACCATCTGGATCCTACTGGAAGGCTTGTGCCGAGGAGGCTACATGGTGGCAATTGCATTGTTCTAAAGGACGGGACGAAAGTCAAGAATCTTGACCATGTCGGGTTTCGGGATTTCAAGCGGGTGGTGGCACTAGATGACCTTATTGACTTCTACCAAGGTCATCAAGAGAGCGTGGTGGTGGCTCCAAAGTTTGAGGGGTCAAAGGATGACCACTTCTTGGCAGATGTATTGCGCTGTCAAAAGTTTTACCAAAGTTACCCATCGCTGAAATATTGGACAATGTGTGGAGAAGCAAGGCAAATTGTATGTCCTAGATGCATTCGATGGTGAATGGGTTGTTTTTAACTGATTATTGTATTTTGCAATAAATGTTATAATATTTCTGCCAAAAGTGTAGTTTATGGAAATGAATCTTAGTGAACTTTTCTACATATCTCGTGTAAAACAAAATTGTAAGCTCTTTTGCTTCAAAAGTGTATCATCCTAGTAATGAGCTCACAAACTTTTGCTTGACCGAGCCCAAAGTGATGAAAGAGATTGGAAAAAAAGAGCTACCTCAGTGGTACTTGATACACTAGGCAAACATGAAGGCGAAGAAGACTGGGAAGCCGACCAAGACACCCGCGACAGCACCCAAACGTCATGTCGTAGCCAAAGTAACTCTCCACAAACGCCTTGACAGTCGTGCATCATGCGTTGGGTGTAGTGAGGCGCACAAGATCATTTGCATACTGGGATGCGATCCAGCCATACAAATCCAATAGTGATCCACATACTCAGCAAGAAAAGCACAAAGTGGAATGGAATGTCCAAGAAAAAGCAAAAAGCTGTTAACAATGAAGATGAATAGGACGATGTTATTGTCCCAAATTCACAATAGGATCTTAGGATTGAATCACTGCCCTACAAGTATATTCACATGTGTTTTTGTTTGCAGCAGAGGAACTGCGGTATGCTGGTATTGAAATTAAGCTGGTCACTTGAGCGTTTATAATGGTTTTTAGCCGATCAAAACATATTTGAATTTTAAATAAGAAATTTTTTTGAATATGGATTTTCTTTATATTTTTCTTTATATGTAAAATATCTAAGTATATTGGAAGATATTCTCTAATCAACAACTCACTTGCAGTCAGTGTTTATAAAGTTAATTCTCTTACTTATCACTACTAATGTAAAGTATTCATATTAAAAACAACTATGAAGTTTTTTATTTTGCCTCATATCTAGAACTGCAAGTGTATGAAGTAAAATTTGAAAAACTATATAAAACTGAGAAACTCTATATTCTGACAAAGCAATGTAAACCT